AGCTTCAATTTGATATCCATTCTTCAGATAGAAAACGGAGAATTGGAGAAATTTTATCTATATGAGTTGTAGCCCTTTGAATTAACTTTTCAATTCATTTTGAATCATTTAAATCGAATATCGAAAGAGAAAGTTATGACTAAAATATCAAAGGTATCTGAGGGAAGAAAAATGTGGCTTACGTGGCTGCAAAGATGAGCGGACACGCCGTTTAATGCAAAAACCACCCAAGATAGTTTTGACTATAGCGCAGGGGCGCGTGCATACTCCAGGGACCAGCGGTGCAAAAATTGTTTTGAATTAGAATTTTGATTTAGTTTTGATTGGGTCACGATGTTTAACTAATTTTTGACTTCTATAAATTGAAAACTTGGAGAAAATTGAGAAACTCTTACCAACCTCTTCATACACAATAATATCATCAAATTCATCAAGAATAAGAGGTCAATTACTATATTTTATGAAAGGAAGTCAAGTTCTAGCAAGGAATTGAAGGTCAATTATATCAAGTTTTTGAAAAATTCAACCTTGGATTTGAATATCAACATTTATTGAATTATTTCATAATTCGGGTGATATTTCTCTATTATTGATCTTGTAATTTATATATTATCATGTTAAGCTAGATCCGTTTTTGTATTAGATGAAGATGAAACCCATTATTTATTTGTTTTAATTCAAGATTAGTCTACCTATGCAATTATGAGTAAATTAATTAAACTAAATGCAAATTGATTTATTAATAAATATCAAACACACTAGGATTCCGAATTCCCATACTATAATCATTTTTAACTTTAGTTCTACACTTGAACAACGTGATTGAATTTTGACGAATAAATGCTTTTATTTTATTTAACAATCTCTCTCGAGTAATATTAAACATACTCTCATATATGACCCGATTATATTTTTACGACGGATGCAAACATACAAGAGTTCATGAATTTTTATGAAAACTTAAAGATTCGCATAGAGTATAACAGTATATTTCTATGACGATTTACATTATGTTGAACATATTTTCCTTCTTTCGAATGCATAAAATAAGCCACCAAATTCACATAACTACCGTGTACAATAATTGTGGAGAAAAAATCATATAAATCATTCAATATCCAAAAACGTGTTTTCAATCTCTAGTATGTAAAACTAAAGATTAAAAATTCATATTACATGGTTCATCGTTCTCTTAGCACAAAGAAATATTGAAGAATCGACATCGCCCAAATAAAGTTTGAATTGAATCTTCGAGTTTTGGATTCAATGTTCGTGTTTCTTACCTCTTTCTATACTTTAAAATCTCTTAGAATGTGTTGTAATGCGTGATAATCACTTTTGGATGGCCCTAGGTATTTAAAAAAGTCCCAAAATTTGTTTATATAAGAGTTGGAATCATATAAGAAAATCAAAAATTTTCCTCCGAAAATACACTATGCTATTGCATAGTACATTTTAATGTTATAGCATAGTTCAACCATTTTCAGCTTCGGAAGGCCCGCTTCACACCAAGCAACCGCATGGCTAAAAGAACTATGCTATGGCATAGTTCAATCAGACTTTTATTCTTTGCGTTTTGGTCACCGAACTCCATTTTCTCATTTCTTCTTCCTCCAACATTTCATGTCTTCATTAAATTGGTTTTCGACTCTATCACATCTTCATTTTTTCTTCTGGGTCATTTTTCAACTATTTGCACTTTGGTCTTTAAACTTTGATTTTCTTTAATTTTAGTCCTTTTTTTGCTTCTTTTTCCTAAATTTCACAATGTTCATCAATGTTATCCTATAAAACATAATTTATATAGAATTAAGTAATATTTCGATATATTTACCAACAATTGTCCATATTTTGTACTCTAAATAAGTGTATAAAATGGACTTATCAATTAGTAGTTTAGTATTTTTTGCGTTTCTTGATTAATTTTGCATACTCATTACATTATTTAATTGTTTGGCCACAAATTAGATAATAAGTTATTTGTTGTAGTATTGAGAGATTCACAATAAGTCTAGAACGAGATAAAATTAATATATGTACAATAGATGCTATGAATAATATTTATAACGTGTGCAATCATATTGATAATATGAAATTTATTGCGTTCTAATCATTCGATTTGGGGCTAGGAATAGACTCAGGTCGTAATTAGAACAAAGTTAATTTATCTTGTGAAGAACGCATGAATATGATTAAACTACATAATTGAGAATTAAAATAGATATTAATAGGCAGATTCAAATTTCAATACAATCATCCATAATTTAATAGAAAACACTTTTTACCGCTTTCTTAAATAATTTAGTATAAAATGAAATCAAAATCTCTCTTTTGTTCACACAATTTGAATTTTATAGATAACTACTTTGCACCAATCATATCCTCAAGTTTTACATGCTAATTATGTTTCTTCAGCATATCTCCCTATTAACAACTATTGAAATGAAATTGAATAGCTACTCGTTCGATTAATTATATTAAAATCGTTCAATCAACTTATATTTATAGTACTTTCCTTTAACTTTAGGATTGGTTAAATTTCTACTTCCATTTTTTCAAACATTTTGTGTTGGTTTAATCATGTAGAGTTGTACCATTCTATGAGTTGTATACTTTTTTGTAGTACTCCAAACTATTGTGAGAGGTATAGAGTAAATGTAAAGAATAGAATTAATATAAGTGGCATCCATAGAAAAAGAAAATGTTTTCAAGATCCATTTAAATAAATCAGTCAATGCAAGATAGGGAAATCACATCCCAAATGCAACATAATGTCAAATACCAGATAATAATATTACATATATGAGTCCCATCTCACTTTTCTTCCGCATAACATAAAATAACCCCAAATCACTTCCAATCTTCGGGGTCCATCTCATGTTTCTTCCGCACTGCTAAACCTACACATTACAAAAAGGATATAAGCCATATCGGGATTAGCCATTTCATAGAAAAGTTTAAAATCTAAAAGACGTATAAACTTATTTATTTATATTTATATATTTCATTATCCCCTTATAGGACAATGGAGTTTTCACAATCGAGTTGCCTTAAGTCTTGAAACGATACTAAGTATCAATCAATTTTTATTTATTTATTTTTGTTTTCCATTTTCCATATGTTATTATGCATATATGGATCAAGTATATCATGTTGAACCAGCTTTTTTAAAATTTTTATATTTCTTACGTTGTTGTTGCTGCTGCTGGAAATAGACCCTGGTGTGTTTGGAATGTACCTAGCCCACTGGTTGAACAAATTAATTAGGTTCATATGAAATATGAAAAGTACAAGAATGCATAGAAGATTTTTGATTTAGGGTTCAAGAATAATTAATTTGAAAATGGAGAACTCACATTTTTTGCCGCTGCACTGAATGCTTCTCGATGCGGTATCTCTGGATTGGCTGCTTTGATGCGCTGTATCTCTTCCCTGGCAAAGAAAAAGGTATAATCCTTAGTGCATATTTAGCACGCAGTGCTCGACTTGAGTGGACAATATAAAGAAACAAAAATAGTTCTTTTTTTCTTTGTATAATCTATCTTAAAAATAGTTTGTAAGAATCTCACTTCATAAACCTATTGTAGGCTGATGGAAGCCTATGCTTCTTCTCAGGTGCTGCAATTTAAACAAGTAGTATAATAAGTGAAAATTATGAAGAAATTAAATTAACATAAATTTGTGATAAGATAAAGAAAAACGAATTGGAGAAATCCCATTACGTTTCACAACAAATGGGGCTTTCGGGGACAAGGGTTCACTGGACGTGGACGAGGCAGATGATGAAGATTGTCCCTTCTTAACTTCACTGCCGAAAACCTATTGCAGAAATCAAGATTCTTCTTTTAGTTCTCCATTAAAGCCAAAACCAATAGAAATCCTGACATTGAAATGATATGGACATGATGGTACCTGGACACGACTTGTTTGATGATCAAAACATTGTCCTTGAAGTGGAGGTCTGGTGCTAAGAAAGGAGAGATTGCTGCAATGTCCACATTTCACTGTGACGGTGTCTAACAGCCTCTTGAATGGAATCCCAACCTTTGTAGAGAAATAAATATATATCACATTTCCTATCTTGTATATGTACAATATTTTTACTTCTATAATGCCGTCTAATTCACATTATCAAACACGTAGTTTATGTTCGTGTTTGTGGTTGTGGTTGTTCATGTTGCACCTATAATAGACCCAGAGGAAATAGCTGAATATCAGCACTAACTAATTTCCTTCTATTTATATTCCAAAAATGAAGAGAAAACATCACATAATGATGAAAGTGGAGATCCACAAAGCATCAACTCATGTCATATACAAATGTTATTTCTGGCTATACTAAGATTATGCAAGAAATAAACATTTTGGTTGGGAAATGATTGATAGAGACAGAAACATGCATACATTGCAAGTATATTTTACATGCAAAAGCAGAGATCTATAACATACATAGATAGATACATGAATATATACATAGAGAGAGAAGAGAGAAATGTGTAGATATAGCCTGCTGTTTTCTCACAAGAAACCAAATGGTTTTGCATGGAATAATGTATTAAATATATACCGCAAGAACAGTGTTGCAGAAGTTGCACCGGACATAGCAAAGATGCTCAGATGATTGAACCAAATCCATGGTGATTGATTTATCTCCCAAGTTCATTGATGAAGAAGAGGAAGAAGATGAAAAAGTGGAAGACATATATAAGATAGGAAGAGTAGATGCGAAATTTAGGGTTTGAGGTCTTAGCAGCTGGATGGTGTTGAGTATAGCATAAAAAAGCAAATATAGGGGTTACTATATAGTACAATTTACCTCTCACTGCAAATCAAATAAGTTGCATGCCCGTACATAGACACGTGGCATCCCTCTACATTTATAAAATCCTTGAAATTTTTTAGATGGACAGTCACAAAATTTCGAGTTTGAAGATTCTACTTCAAGCAGAGAATATTAAAGTGATCACAATTCGAAGAGACAATGTATGGTGACGAGAAGTATGATCAAAATGCATGAAATGTAGTTATTTAGCTATTTATTGTACTCCTCATCGTCTATGGACACGATAAGTTTTTTTTATTGTGATTTATTTTATTTTGTCAGAGATAAAATATATATATATTTATTTAAATTTAGTTTTTAACATGTCCCGCCACTTAAAAAATTTCATATTTGTCAATATTTATAATTGATTATCATTTGGTCAAAGTCCATTTTGATCAACACATTTAACATAAATCACAACTTTTACTTATTTTCTAACCATATATCACTTAGGACTCACTACTTATAAGTAAACAAGCATGAACTTAATTTAAAATTAGTATTCATAATTTTAGTTACTGTATAAAGAGGATAATTGGAGACCATTGAAATAGTAGGTCCCTTTGCTAAGGTTGTTGCCATGGAATTTATTTCATGTCAATCTAGTTACCTAGTGAAGTTGGGAGCCAAGAAGTGAAGACATGGTTGTAATCTTGTGGCAATACTAGAATATGTCGTTATGTCTGAGGATTTCACCACATGTTCCATGTATTTGACTACCGTCCCAAAAAGTAAGAAATGATGGGTGCATAAAGTAACACCTAGCTAGGTACACTATTCTTTCTTTTTGTTCCATTTTCTTATTGATTGGTGGGTGAGTGTTGGATTGCATTCACCGCAAACATTGATGTAGAAAAAAATATCATATGAACATTATATTATGTTTCGATTCAACTTAGAAACATGATACGACGAAGATAATATACCCTATTAAAACTAACTTTGATTCTTCTGAAAAACTTACCTAATATTTTGAATTGAAATCAAGCATGCACATGAACACATACCTTCTCTAGGTTGCTGTTCTATTTTGAAGAAAAATCAAGTAACTAGTCGACTTAACTTCAATATATGTTTTTTTTTTAAAAAAAGTGGGTGCAAATAAAAAAAGTGAGAAAGATGAAATTGACAGATGCTAAAATCACGTGTCAATCTGAGTGATTTTTAGGGTTTGATGTCTTTTTGTTGATGGGACTATTCTTTGATTGCTAAATATGGAAAGAAGCCATTTTTACACTCGATTTTCACAACTTTCTTTTCTGGTATAAACTGCTCACCCTTAGCCGCAGGCCTTGAACCTGTTTTTGTCCTTTTCACTTCATAAATATGTATCTATATGTATGTGATGGAGAGAGAGAGAGAGAGAGAGAGATTCCCATTTCTTCCTCGAAGGATGGCAAGCACGCCAGTCAACAGTGTCAAGCACACGACCCTTTACTTTTTTCTCTCCATTCTTTTGATTATATATGGATTTGGACATTATCATTTGATCTACGCTTCTCTTGTTTCTTAGCTATATTTGGAAATTTGATTGGTTTCTACTATATTACACACATCTCTATAATTCTATTGGATTTCTGGTATTGATTGTTTGTTATTTGTTATCACCATCTCAAAAGGTGGAACTATAAATCACTCGTTTACCATGGAAAATCAGGCATGCCGAAATCGATCGACTTTTAAAAATATAGCCAGCCCTTATTTGATCGAGTAATTATACTTGTACATCAAAAAATGTACATAAGGGTGTACACCCCTATGTACATGGTGATGGACCACTAGCAAAACCGTATTTGATCTCCATTATTTCAAAAGAATTATGCTACTTGTACATCACCCCTTACACAAGGGGTGACACAATGCACAAGTGGCACCTCCTCATTGGAGGGGTGCCGAGGCCCCACATGTGGGTCGATGCTCCCCTCCAATGAAGATGCGTCACTTGTGCATTATGTCATCCCTTGTGTAAGGGGTGATGTACCGGTAGCAAAACCGATTTCAAAAACATATTTTTCTCTCATCTTTTCAACCGCACATTTTTTAATAAAATAATATTATACGAAAACTCAAATCTTCTTATTTTTCAACCGCCCATTCTTCATCAATCTACTATTTCAAAATGCATTCTTTGCAAAAAAATGAGGTAAGCCGTTGAGATTTGCTAAACTCATTTGGCCTCAACAATGTAATATGTTGTCATTTTGCTATTTGTTAACAATGTCCACCCTAATGAAGTGTTAAACGTTTAGTAAGAAAAGAAATATGTTAAGATTTGAGATTTCATTTTAAAAGGTCAACTTCATTAAGAGTAGTAATCCAAACTTTTATAAATTGGTGCATATTTTCATCTTTATTCGATGGGGGAGTCCAAACCCTTATAAACTGGTTTATGTTTTCATCTTTATTAGATGTGAGATTTTATCCCTTAATATACCCCGCAAGATGGCGATTTCATGTGCTCATTTTTTTATAGTCTTAATCGGATCGAATTGTTCGTTGGAGTTTAATGGGCTCTAATACCATGTTAAGATTTGTGGTTTCATCTTAAAAAATCAACCTTATTAAGAAAAGTAACACAAACTCTTATAAATTGGTCTATATTTTCATCTTTATTCGATGTGTAATTTCATTCCTTAACAGTTAGGAGACAAACAAACGGAAAATATTGACAAAAATAGAGGAAATTATTTCAAATCAGGCTATACTACACGTTGCATCTCTAAAATTTTATTCCTATTGCATTTTGGTCCTAATTTCTTTTCTTCACATCTAGCCTATGTTTGCTCAAATTTTATAAACACTAAGACAAGTTTTATACATATATTTAGAGGGATCCACGAGTATTATTCACTTATTCACCACTCATTTTTATTAACTTATAATTCAAATCATTTATAAATACTTTCCAAACATGAAACTTGTTGGCCCCAAAAAATGTTGCCAACAGATGCCGGGCCCACTCGTGCACGTGCAAGCCTTATCCAGCACGCTCGTGCCGTAGAACGGTCAGAAAGGCTCCGAAATCAGGGCATGGGAGAGACTCGCCGCACGAGACTTCAGAGTGCGGGCGTCCGGCTAGGATGGAACTACGATTGTATAAGAAACCAATCGATAAAATAGCGAGATTCGTGTTTGTAAAAGGCTGAAAATCGAGAACAAAGTCTTTCCAAATATTTAGATATTGTTCTTTGCATTGCCTTCCACTCCTTTGTTTAGAGAATGTTTTCATTACCCCTTTTGGGTTGCATGG